TCCTGATGTTGGTAATTTGTGTATTCTTTTTTTTTTCCTGATTAATCTGGCAAGAAGTTTGGTTTTGTTGGTTTTTCTCTGCTATTTTACTATTTCATTGATTTCTACTCTGATATTTATTATTTCCTTTCATCTACTGACTTTGGATTTAATTTGCTCATTTTATTCTTTCTTAAGGTGGAAACTGAGGTTGTTGATAATGAGACCATTCTTCTTTTCTAATATAGGTGTTTAATGCTACAAATTTCCCTTCACTACTGCTTTAGCAGCATCCCACAAATTTTGACCTGCTGTATTTTCATTTTCATGCAGTTCAAGTACTTACCACTTCCCCTATTTATTTGTTCTTTGGTCCATGGGCTATTTAGAAATGTGCTATTTCCTGTTCAAAAATCTGAAAAATTTTTGGGCCAGCCGAGTGGCTCAGTTGGTTAAGAGCACAAGCTCTGAGCAACAGGGTCACCGGTTTGATTCCCACATGGGCCAGTGAACTGCACCTGAGATGAGCTGCCGCTGAGCTACCAACAGGTGGCAGGGTGGCTCAGCTGGTGAGAGCACGTGCTCCTAACAACAAGGTTGCCAGTTCGACTCCCACTTAGGATGGTGGGCTATGCCCACCCGCAACTAAGATTGAACTGGCACCTTGAGTTGAGCTGACCTGAGCTGCCGACAGGTGGCCGGATGGGGCGACTTGACATGGAGCTGAGCTAGCTGTGCCCTCCACAACTAAGATTGAAGGACAACAACTTGGCTCTTCCCCTTCCCCAATTCCCCAATAAACAAAAAAAATCTGAAAAATTTTTAGAGAGCTTTCTGTTACTGATTTCTAATTTAATTCCATTGTGGTCTCTGACCATACTTTGTATGCCTTCAATCCTTTTATACTTAATGAGACATGTTTCATAACCCATATGGTTTATTTTGGTAAATGTTCTGTGTGCATTTGGGAATAATGTGTATTCTGCTTTTGTTGAGTAGAATGGTCTATAAATGTCAACCAGGTCAGGTTGATTGATAGTGATGTTCAAGTTGACTATATCCTTGCTGATTTTTGCTTACTTTATCTATCAATTATTAAGAAGTATTAAAATCTATGACTACAGTGGCGGATTTGTGTATTTCTCCTGTATTTCTAGGCCATTGACATTCAGAGCTTCCTGAGAAAGGGTACATGGTAGAGAAAAATTGTATGAGACCTTTCATGACTGAAATTGTTTTTATTCCATTCTCATATATCATTGATAGTTTAAGCTAGGCAGAGAATTCTAGGTTGGAAATTATTTTCTTTAGAAGTTTTCCAGCATAACTTTATTATAGTTCTAGCTTCCTGTGTTAATTTGAGAAGCATGCTGATTCCTACCTAGTCTTTTATTAATGACCAACTTTTTCTTCTCTGTGGAAGCTAGAAGGCTCTCTTTATTTCAGTGTTCTGAAATTTCATGATGATGTGCCTTGGTATGGGTCTTTTTTTCATGTATTGTGCTAGAACATGGTGGATTCTTTTATTCAGGAAACATGAACTTTGGTTTGGGGAAATTTTGAAAATCATTTTATTGATAAGCTGTACTTCTCTGTTTTTTTCCTTCTTTCTCTGGAACATTTATTGTTTGGATAGTGGACTTCCTATACTGGCCCTCTCAGCTTATCTTTTTTTAAAAGAAAAATCTTCTTTATCATTTTGTTTTACTCTCTGGAAGATTCCTTCAATTTTATCTTCCAAATATTATATTGAAGATTTTACATTTATGCTAATATATATATTTTTTTTCAAGATTTTATTGGGGAATTGGGGAAGGGGAACAGCCAAGTTGTCCTTTTGTTCTTCAGTCTGGTGTGGAGGATGCCGCTTTACTGGCCCATGTTGGTATTATGATCATTGCGCTGTTCCCGGCTGAGGCAGTCGGTTGCCGGCCATTGGATGGCTGCTCACGACAGCTCACAGCAACTCACAGCAGCTCTCATGGACTGCCGGCTGCTCACGCTGGCTGCTGGCCACTCACAGTAGCTCACGGCAGCTCACGGCAGCTGACTGCAGCCTACACTGTCGCCGGGAACTCACAGCAGCACAGCTCCAGGTTGAGCTGTTGTTTACAATCTTAGCTGTAGAGGGCACAGCTTACTGGCGCATGTGGGAATCCAACCAGCAGCCCTGTTATTCAGAGCTCGTGCTCTTACCAACTGAGCCACTCGGCCGGCCTGATGCTATAATATTTTTAATGCACATGAACTCTATTTTGTTCTCTGGATGCCCCTTTATTATAGATACTTGTTTCTATGGTTGTCATATTTTCTAATGTTAATTAATCACCATGTTTTCTTTTACTACTATCGTGTTTTCTCCAAGTTGCATCATTCCTTTTCTCTCTTTCTCTCTCGCTCTCGCTCTCTCTCTCTTTCTCTATCTGTTGTAGTACATACCTATCTACTCATAAGATTGTGGTTCTAAAACGCTGACTGGACACTGTAGCTCCTGGGTTGGGTTTATCAATTGTGAAATTTATTGTACGGTGATATAGCTGAGCCTTTTGCTTATACTGGCAACATTAGATCTTTCCTTTTAGACTGCTGAGAGCACAATCTCTCCATCTCTTGCCTGGAGAATATAGGCCTCGTTGGACGGAGAGTCTCAGCATCATTTATTTATTTATTTAAATATTTTTATTGGGGAATTGGGGGATGGGAACAGTGCTGGGGAATTGGGGGAATGGAAACAGATAAGTTGCTGTCCCTTTGCTCTTCAGTGTAGTTGTGGAGGACGTTGCTTCACTGGCCCAAGTTGGCACCATCATTGTGCTCTTCCCAGGTGAGGCACATCAGTTGCCGGCTTCTGGATGACCGCTCACGTGGCTGCTGGCCGCTCACGCTGGCTGCTGGCTACATACGGTAGCCCATGGCAACCCACTGTCACAGGGGCTGCAGCCTGCCGTCGCTGGCGACTCACAGCAGCCCAGCTCCAGGTTGAGCTGTTGTTCAGCATCTTAGCTGTGGAGGGCAATGTCACTGGCCCTCATATGTGGGATCCGAACCAGGGCCCTCTGGCGTCCCAAACCAGTTCTTAACCATCACGCCACTCGGCCGGCCCTCATTTATTTTTTTTAGCAGAACACCTCTCCTTCCAACTGCTGGAAATCCCTCAGAGAAGAAACCATCTGTTATACCTTTTTCATAGTAAGATTTGGCAATTCTAATATCTTCTGTTCTGGGGGCTTAAATCCACTGTTTAATATTCTTGTACAGTCTTACACATGGTTCCTTGATTTCTCATGAGTTCGGTGCTTCCTTTATTGTTGTTATAATAAAATTATAGAGGAGATAAAATGTATTTTGTCCATCATTTCTGCTTAGTACTATTCTGAGCTGAATCTTGAAGAACAGTTCTGACACTGACCCTGATCATTTATTTTCTTGCTCTTATTTGATAAGATCCCTATGGGCTTAAATTGGGGATCACATCATCCTAAGAGTATTTGTATCTGTTTCTACTACAACAGCTAGGATTAGGTATCAACCTGGGACCACTTTAGCCCCCTTTAAAGATTCTGGCTTAGTGCCAAAAATCTCAGGTTCAACATTTCCTTCTTCCTGCTGGCCCATTTACAGTGTCCTTGTCTGAACCAGTCACTGTTTCCAGGGCCATGGAATATGTTGATTGGCTAGGCTGGTTCTTGTGGACATCTTGGTGCTCAGAAGCATTATCAGCTCCACCTGATCTACAAGAGCAGACAATTAAGCTCGCAAACCCATCCTAGAAAAAGTGCTACATACCTCATTGCTGAGTATCAGTATGATCACCTTCGAAGTACTCCCCTAGGGAAGTTATGCACCAATGCCAGCGCCTACTGCACCGTTCAAAGCAATTTTGGAAGTCTTTTTCTGGAATGGCCATCAGAGCTGTAGTCGTATTATCCTTGATGTCCTGAAGGTCATCAAAATGTCTTCCTTTCAGTATTTTTTTAAATCTTCAGGTAAAGAAAGAAGTCACTGGGGGCCAGATCAGGTGAGTAGGGGGGGTGTTCCTATACAGTTCTTTGTTTACTGGCTAAAAACTCCCTCACAGACAGTGCTGTGTGAGCTGGTGCATTGTCGTGATGCAAGAGCCATGTTGGTAAAAAGCTCAGGTCGTCTAACTTTTTCACACAGCCTTTTCAGCACTTTCAAATAGTAAACTCGGTTATCTGTTTGTCCAGTTGGTACAAATGCATAATGAATAATCCCTCTGATACCAAAAAATGGTTAACAACATCATTGCAAGAAGTTCACAAACTTAATTGTCAGACCTTGTATAAGGAAGGCATGGTATGCAGGCTGGTAGAATGAGTAGTTTCTTCTAAAAAAACTCTGGCACTGTTCAGTATCAGAAGGATGGAAAATGAATGCTGGGCAGGAAAATAGCAAATGTCCACCACAGAAGATGATATGAAATTTTACAGTAGAAGCAGTTTCTATATAGGCTTTATTTAAAATGTAGGAGCTCTTGATAAATACATATCTTTACTTTTGTGTTTCAAGAAACAAGATATATCATTTCTGAAAGATAGGATATTTCTTTATTCTAGAGACTGTATTTGATGGGAAATTGTCAAAATTATATGAGTTAGAAAAATCAAGGAAATATAATGTTTGATTCAGAATTAAATTTAAATTTGTGTTTTAATTTAGTAAATCATGTAAACTTTCTCTCCCACTTTGGAGTGATTGGGTCTCAATTCTAATATTACTTTTTCTCTTTCTTTAAATAAGTTTTCCAATTTCTCTGAACCTAAGTTTCCTCGTTTTATAAATAGGGATAATATAATCTGCTTTGCCTGGTTCTTGTGGGTATTAAATAAGCAAATGCTTTAAAACCAATTAGTTAGTGTCTGGAGCATTTCATAAATGCTTTCTATTGTTAATATTTATGAAATATGGATATTAAGACTGTTTGCCTTTGAAATAAAACAACATACAGATATAGTACCTGGAAAAGAACTATGCAATATCTGCTTTTTCTTCTTTTTCAGATTCCTTCAAATACATCAGAAATATGTTGTATTATTAGAGCATCACCAGGAACGAGACAAGTAAAAAGTAAAGGTGTTATTTTAAAGAAGAAGAAATATTCTCTTCCTAAAGACATTCCTCAAGGTACTGTAGTATGAATGCAGAGCCCACTTTTTGAAAGATATGAAACATGTTCTCATTGTAAATTCCTTTTGTGCACAGGAAGTTCAGTCATAAAGTGTATTCTGAAAGTTCTTGCACAAAGTGGAAATAGTAAAATTATAAAAAGTTTGGTCAGGTTTCAGAACCTGATCAAAAGATCAATTACTTCATCTGTTGAAAAATTAGCTAATGCCATCAATTTAAAATTTTCATAGTGTGATCAAATACGGTAAATGTTAAATTTTTAAAAATTTATTAATAGTAAAAGACACATTGTCATTAATCCTTCTCAAAATACCACCCTCCGTCGCTTTGAACACACTTATCCCATCATTCTTGCCACTTTCTGAAGCAGTTCTGGAAGTCCTCTTTTGTGAGTGTCTTTAGTTGCGCTGTCATGGCTGCCTCGGTGTCCTGAATCAATTCAAAACATTTACCATTCATGGTCATTTTGACATTGGGGAAGAGCCAGAAGTCGCATGGTGCCAGATCTGGTGAATAAAGTGGATGAGGACACACTGTAATGTTTTTATTTGACAGAAATTGCCGTATCAGAAGTGATGTGTAACACGGAGGCTTTCCGTGTGATCACCAAATATGGTGAATGCTGCTGCCAAGTGCCATCTAACGGAAAGGCAGGGAAGCAGCGCATTGAACCTTAGTAACAGTGGGTGACAAATTTCAACTTGTTCAGTGCAGTCAGTTGAGTGTGAGCTATGGTTGAGAGAACGTGTGTTTTAAAGTGTGCCATAAATCATCTTCCATCATGACAATGCTCCGTGTCACACATCGCTTCTTGTATGTAGCAATTTCTGTCCAATAAAAACATTATGATGTGTCCTCAGTCACCTTATTAACCGGATCTGGCACCATACGACTTCTGGCTCTTCCCCAAAGTCAAAATGATTCAGGATGTCGAGGCAGCCACGACAGCACAAAGACACTCATGAAGGAGGACTTCTAGAACTGCATCAGAAAGTGGCAAGAACGATGGGATAAGTGTGTTCAAAGTGAAGGGAATTAATGGCAATGTGTCTTTTACTGTAATAAATTTTTTTATTTAAACATTCACCGTATTGTTTGATTACACCTTGTATTTATCTAGTGTACTTCCTCATATAACAATTTGAAATTTAGTATTGTTGGGTTTTATTTTTAATAGCATTCTTTTTAAAGATATAGAGATAGTTTTGTTTTCACTTATTGGTTGAGCACTTCCTCTGTGAAAGGCACTGAGCTAAGCACCTTATTATATATCTCATTTATTTATCATTATGACTTTAATGATAGGATGTGTACTGTTATCTTCATTTTATATATTAAGAATCTGAGGCTTAAAATAGTATGCAGTTTGTGTAAGGTCATATTGCTACCAAGTGGTAGAGAGGAGTTCAAACTTTTAAGGCTTCTAAACTCCAAGTTGAGGTTTTTCTGTACCTCTCTCACTGCATATCAGGCAGAATTTCTAATTACTCAGTGGATTTGGGAATGTTTTATGAATAATCAGGCAGTGAAGCAATTGAAATTTAGTAAGTTATATATAACTTCAATTCAACTAAGCATCCTACTCTTCATCCTTGTCCCCATTTCTTCCACAGAGCCTGCTCTGAGCATTCCCTAAGTCTGCAGAGATCTTTTTCTTTTTTCTAAGTTCCTTGAATAGTTAATTCAGTGCTACTCATTTAACACTTAATAATGTAACACTACCTGACATAATTTACAATGCAGACTTTTTATATTCTTTAGGTTATGAAGTTTTCAAGGACGGAAACCACATAATAGACTTTCTATCCCTCTGATAATATTAGCATAGTGGTAGGGAATAGTGGATGCCGTATCAGTCAGGGTTCTACCAAAGAAACAGAACTAGTAGGATGTATACACATTTCAAGGAACTGATTTATGCAATTGTACGGTCTGGCTGAAAACTGTAGGGCAGGCTGGAAACTTGGGCAGGAGATGACCCTGATGCAGTCCTCAGGAGGAATTTCTTCTTCCTCAGAGAAACCTCAGTTTTGCTCTTAAGGTTTTCAACTGATTGGATAAATCCTACCCACACTATCAAGGATAATTTCCTTTACTTCAAGTCAGTTATTATAGTTGTTATCCACATCTACAAAATACCTTCACAGCAACACCAACACTAGTATTTAATATAATTGATAAGATAGCCTAGCCAAGCTGACATATACAGCTAACCATCACAATCCACTCTATGTTAACTGTGCATTCATACACATCTCCTTAAACTATATTTAATCTCCAAATAAAGACAGTAACAAAGTCATACTTCTACCTAACTCACTATAACTGTGCTATATACAACTGAAAATGTGCTAACTCCTTCCCCAGAAGAGGGTGCAAAGTCCTTGGGTGATGTTACTCTTGTCCTTGATACCGTGTAACTCATGTACTATGATATAAAGTTAACTATTATGAATGCACCTTATGTTGGGTGATACGATTATAAGAGAGGGAAGAAAAGATATTTGCTTGACTAGTCATGTTGGCATAATTGATAGTTATAACTACCTTTCTCCACTACCCATCCCATATTCCCTCTGCCCTCAGCAAGTACCTCAGCTGCTCATGATTCTTTGATGGGGTAACACAAACCCTCATTTCTGAAGTGTCTGGGACATTGCTAGTCCTGCTGGAATTGGATTGTTGTGTTTCCCATTGACCTTAATCGCAGGGCATGGTAATGCTAAATAATGCCCTAAGGGATCTCCTGTATTTCAGACATACTCTTCCTTACCTCCTTTGTGGAGTAGTAGTCCAGTTTCCCCTTGGAAGTCAGGACCAGTCACCCCAACCAGTACAGTAACTCCCTTCTTTGCTTGTTGACTCAGAGACATGAGGACCCCAAAGTGGCCAGGGGGCAGTCTTAACCTCCAGTTCAGTGGACTCATTTTAGTATCTCCTGGTGAAATCATTCTTTCCTTTGGAACTAAGACCTCTAGACCAGCAGAGCATAAAGTCATGGTAAAAGGAAGCAAAAATTTTCTAGTGGTTCACCAGGGTAATATTGAGTGATCCCACTTCCATTTCCACCCCTTGATTTTTGAACCTGTGAATCCTGGCTATGGGAGAAACAGCATCATATATTGGATGCTGATTCAGAGCATATACAACCATCTGGAGAACTTTGCCCCAGCCCTGCAAGGGCTGCCACCTACCTGGTGCTGTAATTGAGTCTTCAAAAGGCTATTCCACCATTCTGTTAAGTCAGCTGCTTCAAGATGGAGGAGAACATGGTGAGGCCAGTGAATTCCATCATCATGGGCCTATTGCCGCACTTCTTTTGCTGTGAAGTGAGTTCCTTGATCAGAAGCAGTGCTGTGTGGGATAACATGATGGTGGATAAGGCATTCTGTAAGTCCTTGGATGGTGGTTTTGACAGAGGCTTTGCATGTAGAGAAGGCACATCCATATCAAGAATAAGTGTCTATTCCAGTAAGAATAGAATGCTGCCCCTTCCATGGTGGAAGTGGTCCAGGGAGCTGGCTGATCACTCTAGCCACGAGGTGTTGGTCTCTGTTGCTGACAGATTGGGTAGTCAACAGTGGCTGTAGCCAGGCTGACTTGGGCAAGTGGAAGTCCACTTGCTGAGCCCATGCATAACTTCCATGCCTGCCACCACGGCCACTTTGTTCATCAGCTCACTGGGTGATGACAGAGGTGGCTGGGGAAAGAGGCTGACTAGTATCCACAGGGTGAGTCAATCACCTTATCCTCTTGATTATTAAAATCCTCTGAGTCAGCCCCTGGTGAGCATTCACATGGGACAAAGATATCTTCATGTTTTTTTGCCCATTCAGAGAGGTATATCTGCATGTCTCTTCCCTAAATTTCCTTGTCATCAATTTTCCCGTCATGTCCCTTCCAAATTCCTCATCATCCAGCCAAACTACTGGCCACAGTCCATGAATCAGTATATAATTTGTTTCTCCTTCCAACAAAGTGAACAGTGAAGTACACTCTTCAAAGTTCTGTCCACTGGGAGGGCATCCCTTCAAAATTTCCTTCAAGGATTCCCCAGAAAGGAACTGTAGGTGCTATAGCTGTCCACTCTCAGGTGGTGCTTGCGTATCAGTCAGAACCATGTGTAAACCAACCCCGAGTTTTCTTTTCCTTTGTCCACTGATCGCAGAGAACTCCCCATGATGCCATAAGTGCAGGCTGGAAGAGAGAAGCTAATGTAGCAGGCATGGGGGACATGGGCATTTGGGTGACTCCTTCATAGAATTTACTTGTGCTTTCAGGGCCTGCTCAAGCCCAAACTGACATATACCATTTCCATTTGATAACGGAGTGCTGCTCCCCACAGCCAACATTATGGTGTGGTGCATCAGACAGCACACAATTTGTGATAGGCAGCTCAGCTCCTGTTATAACTTGGTGGCCCATGGTTAAATTCTCAGTTTCTACTAAGGAGCAATAACATCCTGAACGCTAGTTCTCAAAAACAGAGTAGTTATAAACAGAGAGTGGCAGGGCCTTGCTCCAAAGTCCTAAGGACCTATGGTGTGATTCACCTGCAGGCTCCAAAGAGCATCTCTGTGTGCCACTGCCACTCAAGCCCCAGGGAACCTGCCTGACCATGTGGTGCAGGTTGCAGAGCAGGTCGCATAGTAGCCTAGACGTGTTGCAGAGCCTTCTCTTGTTATGAGACCTCCTCAAAACCAGCAGCTTTTTAGGTCACTTGGTAAATTGCACTCAAATGAGGACTATGCTGACTCCAAAATCTAAAGAGGCCCACTAGGCATGGTACCTCTTTTGGTTGTAGGAGGGGCCAGATGCAACAACTTATCCTTTACCTTAGGAGGCCCTGGACCCCTAGAAATTTCACTGAGGTAGAAAGAAACCCAGAAGTTCTATTTCCCTGGAACCTGGAGACCCACCAATTCCACTTCCAGAAATATACCCAACTATAATGTGCACATATGCTCAACAAAAGATCTATTCTAGAATGTTCATAGCAGCATATAATAGC